CTCTCTCCCCCCTCTCTCTCTCTCTCTCTCTCTCTCTCTCTCTCTCTCTCTCTCTCTTACAGTTGTCATCAACAAACAAAACAAAAATGGTGAACTCTCTCTCTCTCTTACAATTGTCATTAACAAACAAAACAAAAATGGTGAAGAAAAGAGAGTTGAGATGTATATAGAAGTCTTATATAGGCTTGGGCAAAAGTGTAATTATTTGTTGATCAAGTTAATCAAGTAGACATTAAATTATTTTAATTAATCATTCTGAACCGAATTTCAATTAAACCTACCATAAAATTCTAAAAATTCTAATTAACACATAAATCAAGTTAATTTCTGAATCGGATACCGATAAAGCCTTCAATTCGTAATCCGAAACGGAAACATGAACAGATCTTTTTACGTTAAACAGCTATAAACACATATAATGCAATGTATGATGCAAAATTTCACTTAAATTTTTTTTTTTTATGTATAATTAAACATGGATTAACGTTAACTATGGGTCGAGGTTGTTACACTTAGGAACCCCAGTAAGGGGCCTATCGAAGATAGTGGTTTCCCCGCTGGTCTTCTTGAGTATAGGGAAGATATGGAAGTCATTAGTGACAGTCAAACAGTGGATGCTAAGTATGAAGAAGACCAAGTCCTATTAAAGTCAGAAATCCCTAATCATAAATCCAACCTTGGACCAAGTTCATCGATCATGGTACAACTGCATTCATAACACATTAGCCTACATGTTCACTCTTATTTTATGAGGTGCTAGGTTTGTAATTTGCTAACGTCATCATAGTTGGTAGAGGTAGAGGAAAACATGTCGCAGTTAAACAAGAAATGCATCCCATTTTGAAAGTCTAGGATTTGAGAAATTATGACCTTCAGAAATGCAGTACAATCTTAAAGGATTAACTAGATGAGATTGAAAAGTTGAACAAATGCATCATTGTAGCCAACGTAGAGCTTTCCCAAGAAATTTCTCATTCTTTGGCTGCTTCACTGCGAGAGATAAGGTTGTCCTAATTTGTTTTGGTGAAGGCCATCTCCAACATGGTAACTACTGTGGGTGAAATGGTTTTTGTGTCCCCTTCACCGGCTCTAGTTTTACCTGCAACAAGACCAACCATTGTCTTTGAAAAACATAATCCACAAAACAAATCATTTACTACTTTTGAACCAACCTTGGAGTTTTTCAGATATCTTCCTCTAACAGCCCCATTCTTAGGGAGACAAGGTGTTGAACTTGGGGGCAACCTCCTAGGTTTCAGCCATTAGAAATCAGAGACAGCCAAAACTCTCAAAACTTTTAGAATCAACAAGATCTTCAAAACTAGAACCTTCAGAATCAGTAGAATGCCCAGGGAGTTGGTCCTATGCCTATTCCGAATGGCTGGCCCCACTTACCTCCCCTGTAGTTTCAATAATTACCCTAACCTCCATTACTTTTGAAATTATTATTAGGATTCTCCCACTGCTACCCTTTATTAGGCTATTTAATAGAATTTGTTGATGTCATGCTAATGTCATAGGTTGTAATACCAGAAATGACAAAATTGTTTATTAGTTACCTTATTTATTCAAATGAGAAATTTCACTCATCTTCCCTAAAGTTTTGCATATATATTATCAAAGACCCATACATATTTTAGCATTATTTAATAAAATTCTTAAATTTCATGTAATATTAAATAAAACCTTAAATTGTTAAGGCATTATTAAATCATTTAATGAAAAAAAAATTAATTTCTATTGATAAAATACTTAAAAATAAACAATCTCTTTAAAATTAATGTTAGATAACATTCTAATAATTTAATATAAGACTTATTCCACACTACATAAATAAAGCAAAATTTATCATTTAAAATAATGCATTTATTATTTGAATTTTTTTTTTAAAAGTTGAACTAAATAGATTTATTTTTTTCCCCACAATTTACATTACTTATTTTTTTATATGTAAAAAAAAATGGTATTTAATATTTTCTCAATCATATATTATTTTCAAATTTAAACTTTTATCTTTAAGTCATTAAACTTCTACTTAATACATATTTAAAAAAGAGAGAAATACATACAAGTAAAATAAAGAAAAAAATTACCAATATATGGGGCGCAACTGTGTCTAAAGTGAGATACAAATAAAAGACCGTTGGTGCAAGTACACTTACCCCCTTCATATATTGGTATTTTTTTTTTACAAAATGTTTCAGACTCCCAGTGAGGTGTAGCTTCGTGATTGAGCAAAAAAACAAAAAAAAAAAAAATTATTTTTTTATTTTCAACCAGTGGAGGCGTGCCACGTTACTGGGGCGCAACCCCACTGGGTCTGCAGCACTTCTCTTTTTTCTTTCCCCACCTGCATATAATTCTTTTTTAAAAATGCAAGTTAATATTTTTTTTATATGATTTAAAAAATAAAAAAATAAATATATATTCTTAATAATATATTATTCTCTGTCCCTCTCTCTGTTCAGCTTATTGTTTCCATAGTTTGAAGTGAAGAATTTGCAGTGGAATGGAATCACTTTCGACGAGGCATCTGATTTCTGCAACACACAATAGCATCCTCACGAGATACCCATCATCATCATCATCATCATCATCATCATCATCATCATCAACACCCATTCGTGTAAACAGATTCAGAAATCAAGACACCCACTTTCGGTTTGTTCTTTGCTCCCAAAAATCTGCTTTCCAAGGTAGATAAATTTTCTTCTTCTTTTAGCATCATGTGTTGAAATTTTCAATTTCTAATTCATTTCTTTTGAGCCTTCAACTCCTATTCACCTGAAACCAATTGCTTGTGTTTCTTTGAATAGTTTATGAATTCATAGGAAATGCATGTTTGTTGTATATGGAGTAGCTTATTTGTGTATCATTGTGAAGCTGTCCCTCTTTATTAATTTTTTCGTTTTCCTCAAAGCTTTGGCCTTTGGTGGCATTGGATTGCCAAATAATGGTTAAAATTGCTTATTGATGATGAGATAGATGCATATGGATCATGTTTGGAGTTTAGGGATTTTTAAGAATTGGGTAAATTACACTTACCTGCCCTCTCCTTTAAGTTTCTGATAATTAACTGTTATTTCAATAATAACACTAATCTCCTTTACTTTTGAAACTATTATTAAGATTCTCCGCTGCTAATTGTCTGTTAGTTCATGTAATAGAATATGCTTATGCCATGTATTATCTCAATATTGCCCTTACATGTTCAAATAGTAAATTTCACTCACCTCCTTGAGGTTTTACAAAAAAAAATTAACAAAGTCCCATATATATTTTAGTAATGTTGAACAAAATTATTACATTCTATACAATATTAAAAAAAATAATCTAAATTGTTAAGATATTATAAAAATATTTAACCAAAAAAATATAATTTTCATTGATAAAATACTGAAAAAGAAACCATATCTCTAAAATTAATGTTATTATAGATAATATCTTAATAATTTCACATAAGATTTATTTCACACTACATAAACAACTTAAAATTTATCATTTGAACTAATGTATTTATTGTTTGAACTCTTTTTTTTTTAAGACAGTTAAAACAAATTAACTTCTTTATTTTTTTATTTTTTAAACAAAATGAACTCCTTGGATCCATGGAGCAATCCTTGAATATTGCATATATTTGTAATTGGGTCATAGTTTACTCTATAATTTGGATATGTTTTCACTGCTCTATATTTTGCTCTATAATGTGAGAGAATCTTTAGCCTTTTGTATTCGGCTCATCAATATATATAAATTTATAATAACAAAAATAAACTTTAGAGATTAACATATTATGTCTTACATGTGTTATTAAACCCTAACTTATATCAATAAATGTGTTTAAACAATAAATAGAATTTCAATCTATTGTAAAAAGGGAATTATTGCTCATTTCATTGCATAGAACCAAAACCCCTATAATGACAAGCATATATATAGTAGAATAACCACACATTAAGAGACAACAAATTGATCACCATCAAACGTTATACTAAATTAAATACAACCTTTTTGCAAATTACAAAACAAAATATAAAAGATGACATTGTGGAGTCTTGATCTTCCCTAGCAAAGGGGTCGCTTGATTTGCAAATATTTACCATGCTTCTGTTATCAGTGTAAACGGTCATGTGTTGGGGGCATTTAACATAAATGTTACGACTAAGCAACAAAAATATTTTTTACATAATACTTGTAAGGATTTTGAGAATTCAGTCATTGTATTCATCTCAATAGAGGTATATATAGCTGTTGCAATGAGTATAAAAAAGGCATTATAGAAATTAGGTGTAATCATAATCAAATGTAATCCTAAATCTAGGCCTACATATATGTAATAGAATATTTGCAAATATACAAATTAGGAAAGAATCAACAGACAACTAAGGGGGCTGCCTAACAATACTATTTATTAATGCTCCTCTAAACGCTCCCTATCTTAGACTCTTCTATGTGCCTTGCCCCTAACCCTGCCTCATGGATAAGTTTTAGACTCAAATTGCGTTATTATATATGATAGCCTGAGTGTTTCCCAGTGCACCCATCAGCAGCCCCTAAGCTATACTTCCAAAGATATGATAATAATTAAAGAAATTTAAAAACAACAACAACAACAACGAAATATAAGAAGAAGAAGAAGAAGAAGAAGAAGAAGAAGAAGAAGAAATAGAAAATAAATGAAAAATAAGAAACACTGTTCTTCTTTATTCTTATGATTATACATTCACAACCTAGTCTATTGAACTTACACTAGTCTTTTATATAAATAGTTTGGGAACATACTAAAATAGTTAAAAAGTCAAAAAGTCACTGCCAAAAAGTCAACTCTTCTCTCTATTTTTTGCACGTCTTTTCATAAAAAGCCAAAAACCAACTAAAATAACTAGTTCCCAAAACAACCTAAAAACCAAACGATAGTGATTATAATTGTAGGGGTTACTAAGCAGGTAAATACAGGAGATGTGATCTATAATGACCGGTGGAAATCACCAAGCCTTAACTTCTGTTTTCCCAAAGTGTAGACATAGGCTTGCTGTTAGTGCCTTAAAATGGGTGATTTCAAATAGTTTAGGGTTATTGTTTTGTTTCTGATTTGTCACCACTATGAGTCTATGCTTTGGAAATTACTACAGTATACAACATCTTGTTCGAGAAGTACCAAAACTAAAATGCATTTATTATATTGCATAACACAACCGCGTCAATACATTCTAGTGTCTATCTAAGCCTTTGTTAGGATTTCTGTTAACCAAAACGTTTGGAGTCTGTAATCTTGGGGTGTTTGGGTTGGCAATATTTTTAGTGTGTTAGAGTGATTGAGTTCACCACTTTGAGAGATTTATTTCGAAAAATGTTGCAGCGGTTCCATTGCTTGAAAGCTATATGACTCTATCTAAACCCGTGCATAACATTGTTTTTGTCTCTCTCATTTTTAGGCACTAACCCATTTCTAGGATTTTACTTAACTGTACTTCAAGCCTCTTTTCATAAGGCTTTTGTAGAGATCCTTGGTCCCTGCTTGATTTGAGCCTCACAGTAGCTGAAGTCCCTCATGCTTTATTTGAGCTTGACAGGAGCTCAAGCACCTGAGATCTTGGAGGCAGCGCTTGATGTGCACTTGACAAGAGCTCGAGTGCTTGAGATGCTGGGGATAGTGCTTGACAGGTGCCCGACCTAGGCTCGAGCAGCTCAAGCGTTGTCGGCATATGTTTGGTTTATTTTATGACCATTTTGCCACTGAATTGTTTTAAAATGTCAGATTTCATCGTTTCCAGATATGATAGACGGTTATACATTTCTGAGATCTATTTTCTCTCTCCCTACAAGCTTCATGGCTTGTACATCCAGACTTCGTTGATGAGTCTTATTTGCTCTGGAATCTAAATCTTTGAAATTTGGTTTGAAATGAATTGTTCTACCTAGATTGATTCTATACACATCAAAACCTTCAAACAGCTTTTCATAAGCGTCGGAGCCGTTGAAGGCAGAGATTGGAGTGAGGAGCTTCACGATTGCTATTGAATCAATGGAGGTTGACATTGTCAAAGCCGCTTTGGACTGGAGATCAAGCTTGTTGAAGCTTGTGGTGAACTCAATGGTTAGGTAAACTTGCGTAAGGGTTGTAATTCCTTGATCTTGAGTCTTGTAACTGTCTGATTCATTAGTAGATTTGTTGAGGGTGTTGGGTTTGTGGTTTTCATCCCTTTCTCATAGGGTTTCCACGTAAATTCTTGAGTCTCATGATTGATTGCTATGTGTTTGATTAAATGACTCAATGGGTGAATTCATGGATTAGATTGTTTGATTTCCACATTGTTAGCTTGATTAATTGATTGGTTAATGATTGTGTTTTGAATTGGCGTGAAATCAATTAATCATTTGGGTAATTTCATAATTAGCATCGACTGTTAAAATTGGCCTATTCACCTTTTCTAGGCCCAACTCTGTTGGGGCTTTGTCATTTCTATTGGCATTCGGTCTTGATCTGGATTTGCTGGATATGTTAAGAAACTTATTGTACTTCAACATTTATCCTTTATTTTTGCGTAAAGTCATTGAACCTTTTTTCTTCACCATGTTCTATGGAATAGAAACTAACTTTAGGGGTGTTATCAACCTGAATAACTTTTGCTTTTAAAATCAAAATCGGACCATGTGACAGTAAATGAGCTTGAAAGACTGTAATTTTATGAAAGAGAGATAAACAGAGACAGAGACAGAGAGATGCATGCATAACTCCTTGTCCTTGTATCTTTTGGCTTGAAATTGCATTTTAACACAACCTAAATCATATCTGATTCATTGACGACCTAGGTATCAACATCAGGTTACAGTTTTGGACTCCAAAATTCCATGGTTGCGTGGAAATAAAAGGGAACATTCTTGACGACACCATGTTCATCCAAGCACCCCACTATGCTCAATGTAATTAACTAGCATTGGCACATATAAATTATTTATTTCTGTATTTGTCCTATTTTAGATTCTGCAAAATTTGTTGATTTTTCTCATTGTTGAATTGCCACTCATTTTCAGTAATATACTACTTTCTGATTCAGATTTTCAGGGCTATGCAAAACCTTCACGTCTTTTTCTAGCTGCAGAACCTGAAGTTTGTGCAGATTCTTCACTGGAGAGGATTCTTACATCTTTCAAAGTGGGGGGATGCAAGTGTTTATACAAAGTCAAGCTACATACAAGTAATATCTATGGATCAGGTCTTAGTGATTTAAATGCTGGCATACTGCTTTGTTTGATAGATGAAAATGGTGACTCGATCTTACAAAGGATACCGGCAAGTCTGATTAAAGAACATTGTAATCAATTAGAGGACAAGATTGTTTCTGATGTACTCCATTTCCAAAGGGGTTCTGTTGATGAGTTCGCCTTTGAGGGACCTAAACTGGGGCAAGTTGAAGCTCTATGGATCAGTCTTGAATCAGGTTTGTCTCTTCATGAAGCAAGGTGTTTCAATTCAATGCAAGCCCGATATCTAGCTGGCTATAGGCCTAGCTCAGGATAATAGAGAATTCCAGGACTGTCAAACAAACACATTCAAGGGTCTAAATGCATTTATTTTATATATATGTATATATATTCTTGAGCTCTATATGCAATAATTATGAAGGGAAAACAAATAAATAATAAATAAATAACCCCAACAACGTAAATCTGCATTGGCAAATCCTTTCAATACCATTAGTTGGATTGCTCTAGTATTCTAGACAACGTGGGTTGAACAACCAGCTCCAATTTCAAACACTTTATTTAACAAAGACAAGCCTTGTTGAGAAGTAAGAGATTAGAGTTTAACATGAGTTATCTTGGCCTTCTGAAATTTTAAGCATTCTCTTCTTTTTCTCTCTCTTCCTTTTACCAATGTCAGGTCAGTGGAGACTAGGAGATGTTAGCTTAATTGTCACTTTCCTGTATCAACCGACATCGGAAGAAAATGGCAGAAAAGAAATTCAATATGTTGGTTTTGAATACAGATTTGCGGTCGAGGATACCTTGCTTGGTGAGGGAAGTGACATTTCCATGGCAGAACTGAGGCCTGGCCTAGTTAGAGAGTTTTCTTGGGACAACTTGACCTTGCTAAGTGAGTACCTCTTGCAACCTACATCAATTGTGAGTGACAGTGGAATAACAAATGAAGAAAGCATGAGAGAGTATGCGGATTTGAAGTATTCTTTGTTACTTTATGATGGTTTGCTTGTACTTGCTGGCTCGTCAATTGCATCCTTTTCAGTTGGGGAAAATGCTGCATTTGCATTCTTAGGCGGTGGGATTGGTGGCTTTTTATATCTGTTATTGCTGCAGAAGTCCATTGATGGATTACCAGCTCCTGCTGCATCATCAGCATCAATAAACAGAAGAGGGAAATTTGCTCAAATATTCGGAAGATTTAAGGGTCCAGTTTCAAGCCTAGTACTAGCATTTGTATTTGCTACTATTGCAGTGAAATATGGTTCTGGAGACAGTGGTGGCATGGTGTTAACACCGAAAGAAGTCGTGTTTGGGATGCTGGGATTTCTTGCATGTAAGGTGGCTGTGGTGTTGGCAGCATTCAAAACCATGCCAATGGGTTTAGAGGAGAACGAGTAACAGTATATATTTTTTATATTTTATCTATTTTGTGTGTGTGTGTGTGAGAGAGAGAGAGAGACAGAAATGTCATATTCAAGAAAATGCTTGACTTACTAGCAGTTCTGAGCAGTCAGTCATGGTTGATATTTAAGGCAGTAGTGATATTCAAATGATCAATTAATTACCTTTTGAAACAAAATGATAATTCAAGTCCACATCAACCGCTTTAGGAATCTGATAATGTATGTTGGCCAACAACTTGTGTGTGTAACAGGATCTTTTGTTTTTTCTTATTACTTTTAATAGTTTGAGACCAGGCCATTTTGTATGGTGCCCTTACATGGACCAGAAGCAGGAACTTGTGCAATTCACACTGCAAGGGAGTCTTGTTTTTTAAAGGCTTCAAATTTGGCATTCTATTGATAAATAATTCCAGTTACTGTCTCGACCACAGCCGTTGCTGCAATCTCCTTCCTAGACACTCCCGGTGCTGCGACCCTCCTTCCAAATCCCTACCCTGCAACCTATCTCATCTTCTCTGCTTCGAATGGAACCCCCACAGTTGCCTTTCTATCTCATTTTCTCTGCTTCGAATGGAAACCCCACAGTTGCCTTTCGTGTGAGAGAGAGAGGGGTTTCAAATCTAGGGTTTGAAGTAGGAGAAGAAGAAGAAGAATAAAGAAGAATGAGAAGAGAAGGTGGTTGTGGCAGTGGGAAGGGGAAGAAGGGGGTGGAATGGCGGCGAAGCGGGTGGCAGTGGAGGCAGGCAGCGACAGGTGGTAGTGGTGGTGGCCCGGTGAAAGGGATTGAAAAACTGGTGGGTGAAATGAGAAATTAAGGTTTGTGTTTTTATGGTTTACAGGTTTTTTTAGTAATTTTAGTTAGGATTAAAATTATAATAAAATTTTTTGAAAATTTTGGAACGTAATTAGATAGAATGGTAAGTAGAACTACTCAAACATTATTTGTTTCTAGGTCTGGTATTAAGGGGGTGTTTGGGAAACCAAGGTTTGGCTTTTTTTGGGCTAAATTCTACAAAATTACAAAATAGGTTAAAATAGTCAATAAAACAAAATGTCACATTAAACTCATAATCATTTCACTTTTTCTCTCACAAACATCACATCCAACTACAAAAAAATCCAACTCTCTTTCCAAATACAAATATTTTAGCCTACTAAAATAATCAAAAACTAAAATAGTCTACTAAAATAGCTAACTTCCCAAACAAGGCCTAAGTGTTGGACTTAATTGGGTTTTGGTAAGTTAAAATTAAAATAATTGATTCCTCTACTGGTAAAAAACAATTTTGCTTTGGGGTTTGATATTGAGGCCAAGACTTAGATGAGTTTTGCATAGCTTTTTGTTGGGGTTAAACATATTTGTTAATGCTTAAAGCATGCAGAAGTCTTTAACTTCGGCCCTAACATAGGTACGGTGGGATTATTTGCAGATACGTTGTGAGTGTTAAGGGACAATACTCTCTAACAGATATGTTGAATAATCTATTTACATATCCATTGAGTGAACCAAAAAAAAAAGGCGAGTTTTGCTAAATTAAAATTAAAATAATTGAGACCCTTTTTTAGTTGAGGTCTAACATAAGCCTTAAGCATCATTTCTAGATGGGACCTTATCTGTTGGCTCAAAAATGAATAAAAGTATAAAGCGATTACTTTGGCAAACTTTGTCTATGGTAGATTCTTGTCATCTGTTGTAATTTTACTATAATCAATAATGTGGAGAGCAAATTGTTAAAAAGTCTAAGATAAAGAGGGTATAAAATATTAGATAAAGTATATATTTTTTATTAGTTAAAGGTCCACCCTTTGTGAAATAGTTTAGTAAGAAGTCCTTTTATTAGTTTTGAAAGACAATTTGTTTCTAATTTTGTCCCTATAGCTATCTTAATTTCAAGGGTTTGTGGACTTTGGAGCAGAAGAACATGGTGATTGGTCTTCCTCAAATCAATGCTCTATCAGAAATGTGTGAGAATTGTGTTGTTGGTAAACAACATCGTTTTTTCTTTCCAAAAGGGAAAGCATAAAGAGCTAAGCATCCATTGCAGCCGATTCATTCAGACCTCTGTGGTCCAATTAATTCAATCTCAAATAGCAACAAAAGGTACTTTATTTCATTTACAGATGACTATAATAGGAAGACTTGGGTTTATTTCTTGCAGGCAAAGAGTGAAGCTTTTGGTGTATTTAAAAGCTTTAAAACATTAGTTGAGAATGAGTCAAGGAGGGATATCAAAATCCTTCGAACTGATCGTGGTGACAAATTCAATTCCTATGAATTTGTATCCTTTTGTGTAATACATGGAATCCGGAGACAATTGGCAGTAGCCTACACACCACAACAGAATGGTGTCAGAGAGAAAGAATCGCACAATCCTGAACATGGTACGAAGTATGTTGGCAAAGAAGAGAATTCCAAAGAGTTTTTGGCTTGAAGCTGTTAATTGGAGTGTCCATGTGCTAAACAGAAGTCCTACTTTTGCTGTCAGGAACATGACATCGGAAGAAGCTTGGAATGACCACCAACCAACTGTTGATCATTTCAGAATTTTTGGGTGCATAGCATATGCACACATTCCTGATGTGCAAAGGAAAAAGCTTGATAACAAAGGAGTGAAATGTGTTTTTCTTTGGGTTAGTGAATAATCTAAGGCATACAGATTGTATAATCCAATAACTAAGAAGATAATCATAAGTCGTGATGTCATTTTTTATGAAGAGCGTGTATGGGACTAGAATGATGCAGGGTAGCAACAAATTTTAGTAAATTTTGATAGTGAAGAAACCGAAAAAGGGACTAAGCAATCTAACCAGCAGCAGCAATTACCAAATGAAGTGCTCTCCAATCCTTCTACAAGTGGTTCAAATGAAGAACACCCACAAAATGCATTCAGTCCACAAGTTCAACGCCAAAGAAAAAGGCTAGCTTGGATGATTGACTATGTAAGTGGTGATGAGTTGTCTGATGATGATACCATTGCTTAGTTTTCCTTATTTGCAGATTGCAATCCAATTGCATTCGAAGTTGCAGTGAAAGACTCAAAATGGCAGAAAGCCAAGGATGCAAAAAGGCTATTGAAAAGAATGATACATGGGAACTGTCTGATCTTCCACAATGGCAGAAAACTATGACACCCGAATTTTTAAATTTAATTCAATACTGCAATAAATAGAATTCCTTATTATTATTTTTTAATAATAATAAATAAATAAATAAAAATAAAATAAAAAACAAAACCATGTTAGATTTCTGTGAGCCAAGGTTACTTCTGAGCCAAAGGTTAAAATTGGCCCTTGGTAACTTCGTGAACTTAAAAATTAAAAAATTAAAAATTAAAGGAAAAAAAAAAAAAAAAAGAGGCCGAAGGCCAAAATAGGTGGCATTACTCCTTAAGGCCAGCACAAAACAACGTGGCAATATTTGGCTTAGGAATCTTGCGTGGGAAACAAGTTGAGAGCTTATAAATAGGGATTCCGTAGGATGTAGGAGAAGCAACAAAGTAGGAAAGAAGCAAAAGGCAACAAAATAAAAATGCACGGATAAATAGAGGGAGTGCAAGGAAATAATAACAAAAGTGAGTTATATCATACTTTGAGTTACTATAATATATTTTCTATATGTCTTGAGTCACTATAATATATTTTACAAATATTTCGTGTTACCACAATTTATTTTATATAATTTATGTTTTGTAGTTATATTAATGTTTCAATTGTGTGGATTATTTTCTGAACTCTATTTGCTTAAATGGAAACCCATAGATATGTATGTTTAAATTTTAGAAAGTATTTGACAAAGATCTTGTAAACAATTATTTTTTGTAAGTATCACCACGGGAGTCCTATGCTTTGGGGGACTTAAATAACCATTGGCTCCTGTTTGGCCACTTTGTGGGTCTCTGTTTGTTATGGATCCATTGACCCCTGTTCTGATTGTCACTCCAGTGACCCATGTTCTATTCTGTACCGTGGTTATAGTTGTTCATGTGATTTCTGTATTTTAGTTTCTGTCACTTAATTAAATTATTTATTCAACTTAAATTATGTTAATATTTTAACTTAAACAACTATCCATAGCTATTTTGTGCCCCTATACTCACAGTATAATATTTTTCACTCTGCTATGTGCTTATAGTTGTTACCCATTTCAGGTAACGAGATTTAGCGGGATCAAGATGGGGGATAAATCGTAGTGTTTTCTTTTTTTTGTACTATTTGTATTTTTTATTGGACTCTTGTAATAAAATAAAAAACCAAATGACTAGTTTTGTTTCTTTTTAATAAACTTTTGGTACTCAATTATTTTATTTTAATTTATCTGTTGCATTACTACTATAGAAATTTTAGAATTATTTTATTTTTATCTTGTTGCGACGCCAAACCTTTGGGTACCAGGTTTGGGTCGTGACAAAAATGATATCAGAGCAATGTTTTTTTTTTTTGAAATAAAAATAGTATATTCTTTTGAATTTTTCTGTACAATTATCCACATTATTTGCAATTCACATTATTTGAATTGAAAATTAGTTCCAAAAAATATATATATTCACCAACTAAAACAAAATTTTAGTTTGTCTAATGCAAGTAAACCATGTTATATATATGTCTAGGCTAAGTTTTCTTGTGTTGTAGGAAATAGCCAATCTAATGGAGTTATTCTGGTTCGAGCCCCCAGGAGCTCATCTTATCCCAAACCTATTAGAGGGCTGGGGTGATTCGAAGAGTCTTGTTAGGCAAGCCCATCTGATACTTGATCTGCTCATGGGGAGACCCATATATTTGCAGGCCTACCCGATGAGGATTTCTTATTTTGGAGACTAAGCCGAGGCAGCACTCGTGAGAGGTACATAGGGCTGACCCACGTTGTTGGTCTTGCTCCAGACCTAGGATAGCCGCACTTTCTAGTCGCACCTCTACCCTTGGGCTTTGCAGAGAGGAGAGGACATGCATACCCTAGCAGCCACATTCGCACTACGACATCTCCTCCACAGCATATTGTCCATACCCCAGTTGTGGACTTCACCGATAGTGCATTATACTTGGAGATACTGGTACGGATTACCGGACAGGAGTTTTGGGGTTATGATCACGGTGTTCCTGTCTACATAGTCCAGGTAGTATGGAGTTGCTTTCGAGTAGAACACAGTAGGTAGGAGTTTGAGTCCCTCATGCAGGGGGAGTTTGTGAGGTTATTT